CTACCATTTCAGTATAAATCAACCAAAAGATTTATCCTGGCACCTTCCCCAGCCACTCTGAACAGCATCTCTAAGCCTATTCCCTACACAGTCAACTAACACATCATCAAGTGCAAATTTCTGAGCACTTTAGTGTTCAATCATCTTCTACCTTCAAGTCACGAATGACGGGCTCGTCAATCTAACTCTTCAGGTTTAAGAAGATTGAACAGGGGCAGCTGTTGTACCTCAAAATTTGCCCTCTCATTTCTCAAGAAATTTCTCACAAGATATTCCATGAACCAAGTTTGCAGCACTGATACATCAATTTAAGTTTGAAATTAGCACAAGGGCAAAATGGTTAAAATGCACACTAAAAAGTCAGACTTTGACTTTTGGATCAAATTCAAGTTTCAAGAGTCACATTTCATCAAGACATGTTAGAATATGAATTTGGTTCATCAAGAAAATCAAAAGTAAAAATTACTTTGGAAAAGTCAAAATTCTAAACGCTTATGAATTTTTCTAAGTGTTAAGAAAATATGATAAGTTCAAAACTTCTGGCCAGATTTTCATCATGATGCAAGAGGATCCAGGAAGAACTTCTGACACAAGATTTTTAGATCTCAATGGGATCTAAAACATTACAGAACAGAACTTCTCCTAGAAATGTTGGGATTTCAAGTTATACATCCTTGAAGGCACATCGATGAAGCTAAAATGCTTAGTAAATTCTGAGTATTTTCAAGTCAGAATTTGGTTAGAACTTCTGGGCCAGTTTTCATATAGGTTCAATCACAGTCTTCTAAGATGATTCAAAGATAGGTTACAAAGTATGTTACAATCTTTCTGAAAAGTTTGAGAACTCCTTAAGATCATACTGGAGCAGGGAGATTCAAAGATCAGAAGTTGGGCGTTTGATCTTAATCTAAGCTACGTTTGTGCTGAACTTATGATCCAGTTTTAAGCTAGGTTGTATAATCTCAGGTTGCAGGTCTTCTTGCTTGATAAATCTCATCATCATTTAATGCTCAAACCAACTTTTGAGTCTTTATCCAAAGGATCTTCCCACGTGTGGCATAGAAGTACCATTGTTGTTCTTGGAAAGTAAACTTTTGTACAAAGTTTATGCTGGGCCCATGCTTTACTTTTGCTTTTGAGAGTACTTTTCTATAAATCATGCTTACAAACTCAGATTATGCGCGGCTAAAGCTGCTAACCACTATACTTTGCCTTGAAACATGCTTGTCCAAACTTGCTTCAAGAACAAGTCAACGCCATAATACATGATGGATATACTATTGACTTCTCTAAGCTTCTAAATCATTTTCCAATAAATTAAACTTCACTTGCAACTGTTAAAGAGGTCGAAGATTTGAGAAAAAGTCTTGAAACCTTGCTGAAAATTCCCAAGAACTTGAAACTACAAAGATAAACACGAAACGTGCTAGTTTCTGATTTTTACATTCAAACTTTAATTTTTCTTGTGTGTTTCTTAACTAAATCATCCATACAGTTTCTAGAATACACATAAAAGCTTTCCCAATTTCTGTTTTCAGACTGTAAAACAGTATTTACCACTCTCTATTTCAAAAAACCAGAATTTTGTACCTTGACTGCTCCAGAACTTTCCCACCACTCTTAGCTCAAGTTAAGAGTTGCTTTAGCTTTTTGAGAACTTGAGGAAGCTGACCAAAACATCACAGCAACCTGAACCAGGCTCTCATTCACAGAATAATTTCCAACTGTAAGGTAAGTTTCTTCTGACTTTTATCTCATTACTTAGGCATTGTTAGGCTTCCATTTTCAAAGATACAATGTAGACATCATGACTCTGATTCTGTACATATTTATAGATTTCGTTTATATGGCCTAAGTAGAGATAATTTCAGCTCAGAACTTCTTGAAGAAATTAGGGTTCAGAATTAAGATTAGCAAAATCATGCTTGCTGCTGGTTTACAGTTCTAACGTTTTGTATTTCTGAAAACATGATGAAATTTGCCATAATTGTTATGTTTGCATTTTCCATTTTTGTTGAGAAATGACTAAGTTGCAGATACTCTGGTCGGCATGGAGAAGGAGATGAAGTTCATCATCAGAACTTACTTTGTAATATATGTTTATGTTTTTGCTTCTAATACCGGATGTATAGTCACCCCAGTGGTAGAGAGCACGCGCATAAGACATTAATGTTAAGGATCCTGAGTTCTAGCCTCAGAAACACCTTTTTATGTTTATTTTTTGACATTTTTACCCCATTATTTTCCAAACGATAACCCTGGACCAAAACTTCTGGATAAACCCCCTCCCATTTGTTTGTCAAAACAGTACCCCTAGACCAGAACTTCTGACCTTCTAATAACACCAGAACTTCTAGGCTCTCTCAACACCCCGAACTTCCAATCTTACGATAACACCAGAACTTCTAGGTTTCCAGTTGTATCAGAATTTCCAGGCTTTCCTTTGTTCCCAGCAACCCTGGAACTTTAGTGCGTCCGGATCCAGAACCTCTGCCCTTCCCCATTTCTGTTAATGTTTGCTTTCTGACTTGCAGCGCGCCTGAGTCAGACTTCTGCTTTCTCCTCTTTCAGCAATGCGCTGATTCTGACTCTTGCTCTCTTATTATTTTTATCGTCACTTTATTTTCATTAATCAAAAGCACCAAAAAATACTTTATATTCACATGCTTTATTTTATTTCTTTAAAAAACAAAAAGACTAAAAATATTTTCTTAAGCAAATTTATTTCTTCTCCTAACAAAAACAAAACAAGTCTATTTTCACATTTCTTGTACATTATTTCAATATGGTTGTAATAGATAATTAGGACTTTTATTTCTTGCAATCCCCATTTGTAAATTTGTACACCCCATCCCTAAATGATTGTAATAGCGTAGAAAATTTATTTTCCGCAATTTATCGTTTTCATATAAATGCTAGTAATTAGGATTTGTATGGGAAAATAAAAATCAATGCTTAGAAAACACTAATTCAAAGACAAAAATGCATGCAATCAAACACACTTTGCACACGTACACCTCTAGGGTTAAATTCACTTGTTGCCTTATAAAAAATGGTCATGTTATGCATGTGAGACGTCTTAGCAAAAACAATCAAAAGTACAAGATCATAGTCCCTCGATGACGCTTCGAATGTTGCCTTTCAAATGATCTTAATCCCTCGAAAGAAATGCTAAGATATCTCACAACATTGTTATCATGACTATACGATGACCCACGCCCGTCCCTTTACATCCAAAGATAAAGTTTCTTACCAATCAATGGTAAGATAACAACATCTAAAGGAGGAGGAAAAGAACAAAGACTTTTGGGTAGGTAGAAAGTTCTTAGTTGCTTGCTCATTTTCAAATACAAACACCTTTTCAAATGCACCAACATTTTTCATGAAATATTTTCAAAAGTCCAACACTTTGTATACATTCTTATAGAGACAAGAATCATTACAAAGTTTGCCTAAACGAAGGCTCTTTTCAAAAATACTTTCAAAACCCGCTGCAAAGCATACTTTCAAACAAAAGCAATGATCTAGCAAGCAACTAAGAGCTCATAGATAACTATGGATGAAAAGGGTGCTAACACCTTCCCTTTTCATAATCTATCCCCCGAACTCAAGAAAATAATCTCAAAGGTCTTTCCTGTTCTTTTCACTCTTTCTTTATTGGATAAAAGAAAAGTCGGTGGCGACTCTTGTTATCTGCAACAATTGCGATCAAACGCAAAACACCCAAGTTAGTTCTCCCACTGTGTTACAATAACACACATGCATACATGACATACATAGCTAACTTTGGCACTAAGTTAACTTAAATGAAAAGTTAACTTATACAAGTGCATATTAGAACAAGTTTCGACTACAACATGCACATCTTCGAATACTGCATGCTTGAACAGACTTCGACTACAACATGTACAACTATGTCAAATCATGAAATTATCCATGTAAAGATTAGAGTTCGATCCAAATACCACAGAAGTGTATAAAGATGTTAATGATGTTAAAATTCTGACCACAACATTGTTATGGGTGGGGGCTAGATTTAAGGGCATTTTCAACTGTGATAAGAAGGATTGGTTCGTAAATCCACTTGTTGATTGTATCAGTTAATCTTTTATTGGAGTGGCATCGTTTGTATCTTTCTATATCTTTTTGCATTATGTCCGGAGAGTTTCTCGTTTTTGTAATCTTTTATATTGGATTTAGTACCCCTTGTGCTCCCTTTAATGCATCTTTTCTTTTACTTATAAATAAAAATTTGGCAATATATACAACTATCTAGGGTATTTTGTAGTCACTTTAAGGGTTGATATCCATCAATCATGGCAAGTTTCAATTTGAATATTCTAAATAGTTGAGGGATATTTTAGAAAAATTAAGACAATGTTTGTGAGTTGAATGTGAGGATACGATAAGACAATGCTTGTGAGCTGAATGAGGGGAAACTATATGGTTGTGTAGATGTGGTCTGAAAATAATTTTAAAATATTATATTTGTTTATTCCTACAAACTAAGGTTGGCGAAATGGTGGGTGGTTATAATTGTTTATTCCTACAAACTATGGTGGGCGAAATAGGTAGACCTAAATAAGAAATTGTTGTATGTTGTGGTTGCAAACACATCTGTTTCATCAAATCTATGATGAAGGACTTGAAAGAATCATGTCTAACATCTAGTAACAATTTACCAAAAACAAAATTGTGAACCTTTAACGCAACTTTATCAAGTAACAATTGAACAAGCTCATCAATTGATGGTTCAAAATGTTCAGCACATTTCTTGTAACACAAACAAACTTATAACTATATAGTTTCCTACAACAAAGTTCATCCCATTTTATCACAACACTTGTAGACCCTATTGCAAACTTTCTACCATTTCCACATTCACATGGAAAATAATATCACGTTCTATTTGTTCCACCACATACAAATAAAAATGGCAAAAGCATTGATAACCATGCCTTGACAATCATATGAGTGCTGATGATTCAATAAACCATCTTCTAAACATCATTTTCTTCGATCTCGCTTCCATAAGATATGGAGCTATTATTTACACTCGGTTCAGAGCTAGCGGTGCTGCTTGTCGCATGCGGCGAATCAGAAAAACTCACTGTCCCGCTCTTTGATGAACTTCCTGATCTTACACTGTATGTAGACACAGCTGGAATGCTCGTCAAATGTGGTCGCATGTTACCCTGAACACTTCGCCTTATGTCCTGCATAAGAAAAATCAACGACAAATTATAACATTTTCTTCAATTCGTAGAGTTGTACGTAACAACTAATAAGGAGTTATGAACATACCATATGCCTCATTGCCATATCTAAAGATTTCTTTGAAAGTGTGCTTCCAAATCCAGTGCTACTAGATGAAGAACATTTTCCATAAGAATTGTTGTTAGCAGAAGGATCGTCATGCTTTGGTGGTGCAAGTTTTCTCATGTTTACTACTCTTTCGACCATTTTCGTCCCGATTATAACAGGACTTTCTTCATCACCATCGGTGAAACGAGCTCTACTCAAAGCGTGCATGGAGCTATGATTATTATGAGGAAGCCTGGTTGAGGCATTCGAAGGTGTGATTGACTTCCTTCTAGACTTTGCATTGCCAGTTGTCTCAACAGAAGCTGATCTCGAATTCGGAACTCCAGGCCTATTTCTAGTGACTGAAGTTGGTCTTTCTGGCAAAGACGTCTTCAAATTCGTAGGAGCTTCATTAGAAAATCCAGCAATTTGCGGGGGTTTCCAAGGTCTAGATTTTACAGCTGGAGAGATGCCACGCGATTGCACCGGACTCTTCACAACAACAACAGGGCGAGCTTTTGATGCTGACGAAGGTCGAGTCGGAGGAGCAGATACTCCAAATGCTCTTGACGGAGTTGATGATCGAATACTTGGAGTTATTGATCTTTGAGATGTCTTAGGAGCTGTCACGGAAGGCTTTGAAGTAGGCGTTGAAGCCCTCGAAGCGGATCTAGTAGGAGTTGATGATCTCACCGGTGGAGCTGTTGACTTGGTAGAAGCTATCGTGACTCGGGAGGTAGGCGTAGAGGGTCTAGCCGATTTGGTTATTGAAGGTAATGTCGGCCTTCCAGATGGAGTTGAAGATCTTGAAGTAGCTGGAGATGGACCTCGTGACAATGAAATTCTCTTACTGTTACTAGTGGAAGAACCTAGTCCTGTCATTGCTGCATGATTCTTAGAAACTACATTGCTTCTAGGTTCTGTTTGGATATTTGATACCTGCAACGCATGATACATCAAATCAACTAAAAATCACGGTTCAACAGCTTCCAAAAATCACTCTCTTTATCATATTAAGTGACTCATTTCAAATATTTGTATGTCTCATATTATTTGTCATTTTAAATTATGAATTCATCTATACTAATTACATTTTCTCCACCGATTTGTTTGTCTCACATTACATCATAAAAATTAGTAAACTTAGTGATTTTCTTAAGAAATGTGTGTAACCTTAAAAGCCACTGTTGGATCTTCTTCTATTGTATAGGCCGCATAATCTGGTTAATTACCAGTCGTGTATCTGGTGAAAACCAGTCGTATCTGGCACATGGTATTTATACCATCATTGAGTGGTATCCCTCCAATACGAGACTTTAATGAACTTTTTCAAATTCAACTCTACACACACTAGCTCATACTTCTGCTTATTTCCTACCAACTTAATACCAACAAACACTTAATATGAAACGGAGCGAGTATAGTTCTCAGTTATTACCCTTGGTTTTAAAGCCGTTGGATGAGAATTGCGTGTCTCCGTTTTACTCTTTACTGAAATTTGTGATTCCTTGTCCAAAGTAGGGAAAAGTGGTGCATCTGGTGGAGTGAGAAGCCTGATAATAGAAAAACTCTTGTCAGTATGAAGGAAAAAAATTCTAATGAACAAAAATTGCAATACAATATAGAAACAGAAACTCGGAATGAGTTATAATACATGTTATATGGCTCTATTGTTCGTGTGTGTATTATGAAAATTGATTATATTCAACCTCTGAAGAATACATAGAAGACAAGCTCAAGTTAACAAAAAAGCCAGTATATGAAGTATTGAAAAGTTTGCATTTGAAATCAACCCTGATTAGATTAATATTAAAGTGCTTACAGATTCTTTTTTATAGGTATGAAATTAGTCTCAGAAGAGGAAGTTACATCCTTTGGAGAAAACGCTCATAGCACCATAATTAACATGAATTTCAAATAAGATAATCACTATCACTAATAATGATGATAAGTACTTCAACATAGAAGCTTTGAAGAAAGAGGAACTAGATGTGAAGCCTCAATTGTCTTTGTCAAAAGCTCAAAATACTTTTCAGCTAAAAAAGGTATCTCAAATGGGGACCCCTCAAAAACAACAATCATGCCAGCTTGAGCTATGAAACACAAACACAGACACAGACATGGGACATAACACCGACACTACCGATAATAAATTGAAGGTAATTAGAAGTGTAGGTGTCGGACTCTGACACACTTTTTTTCAGAAATGTCAGTGTTAGAGAGAATTTCATGGCCTCATTGGTATTAGAGAACAATTGATTTACAAGATCTATGAACTGAATGTACTCATATAGCTAAATCATACACTCCATTAGCAATCTAAAGTTTCAATTAATCGAAAATTACCATTCATAATCAGATTTGTCATTCTCTGAATTCAAGAACTCTTCAACCACTGTCTTCTTTGGTGGAACTGAAGACACCATCTCAGAAACCATAGAGTTCTCATTATTGGATTCTGCGGTAAAACAATTGATTAGACCATAATAACAAAATCCAATCAAAAAACATGAGAAGAAAAACATACCCAAATTGGAAAAATCAAGTTCATCAGAGTTTTGAAAGAGGAGAAGACTGTTCTTCTCATTCTCTTTCTCTCTCCTCCTCATCTCAAGGAACAAAGCAAGCTCTTCATCTCTCTCCTTCATCACCATCACCTCACCTTCTCTCTCTATATCTTTAACCTTCTATAATCTACAAAATCAACAACAATATAACCAAAAAAGAAAAAATCAAAACTTTGATCACCCCTTTAAGCATAATTACCAAAGTAACAATCTTTAAATCAAAAAAAAAAAGAAAAAGATTTAGATCATAAAAAACAACATGAAGAAAGATTATCCAAAAGGGTATGCTAAAAAAATCACATAACAAGGATCTAATTACCGTTCTTGAGTAAAAAAAGTGATGAAACAAATAACGGGGTCAACGAAAAACTGCTTCTAATGAAGATGTTTTTTGTTCGATATATTTGAGGATTGATGAATGATGAATTGTGTTGAAAAGGTTAGAAGGTGCAGTTTCATTTGCTCTGAGGAACTTTGTCTTGTTAGCATTCAAATGTTTGAAAATGGAATTAAAAAATTATAAGGAAAAGGAGATTTGAATTCAATTCTTGCGGTTTGTTTAGTTTTTTTTTTTCTGACACAATTAATGGCTTTTTTTTTTAAGTATTTTAGTTTCATTGATAATCTTAAAAATTTTGTTTGAAACAAAGTTCGTTAGTGTGTTTGAACTTAAAAGCTACTAACATGTATGTCTGTTTTTTTACCATGCATGAAAATATAAATAGTATTTCTTTTGTTTAATTTTAATTATTTATAAATTGGTAAGAGATAATAAAGTACAAAAGATATAAAATTGTCATTTAACATTTAGTTGAGAAACAAATTAAAATTTAGTCAAAAAAAAAAGTGTTTAAAATAAAAATAAGCTATACTAGAATTATTTTTTTTTCTTTATATATTTTGTTATAGATATTGTTATTCTATAATAATTTTTTTTTATTGTTTAATTAATCACATGTTTTACTTATAAATAAAACAACAAGATTCATTTATTTCAATTAAATATATTGATAAAAAATATACAATTTTTTCTTAAAACATTTTTTAATTTAAATTACATTTGTTGTTTTTTATTAAAAAGTACATTTGTTCTAATTTAATATTTCACTTTCTTTTACACTATAATACTTTTATATCTCTATTTATTATTTATGACCATTCATATTTTCACTCTCAGCAAAATATTTCATTAAAATTTATTGAAATAGCTTGATTTAAAAGTTGTGCTTAAAGCAAATAAAATATGTAAAGGGGGTGGATCGATATTTTAAAAAGTTTCTGCACACAAAATAAATAAATATTTTATGCATTGATGGATAGCTCAATTTATTGGACAGTTGCATTTTTTTTAAATTACTATTATATATAAATTTAAATAAATTATTAATATTTATAAATTAATAATTTTATATAAAATATGTAAAATATAATATTTTATAAAAATATTATATTAATATTTTTATTTTAAAAATATTCATGAAATTTCTTATATTATAATACAGATTAGAAATCAGTTAATTTTTTAATATTACACAAATATTTTATTAGTTTATTTAATAATAATTATTTTTATTTATATTTTTTTAATAAATAATTTCAAGTAATGTAGTTTATTAATATTTTTTTTATATTTTATTTTTCTTTATTTTAATTTAATAAAAATTGAAAAATAAACTTTAGAATGTCTAAAAACAATCTTACAAAACAAAGGGGGTTAAGCAACTCCTAAGATAAATGGATGGAGTATTTTGAAATTTGAACTCGTATTTTGACATTTGATAATTCTGGATAATTATCAATTCAGTTGACTTTTAAACATTAGTAAAACATTAATATTTATTTCTAAAAACAAGTTTTGTTCATTAAGACATTTACTCTTTTAACTAGGGAAAATTTAAAATAAAATTTTAGATGTGAATGATAATTTTAAATATCGCATTGGTGATATAAGTTGTATTAATTTTTAGTTTAATAATTGGTTAGGAGATGTTCTTTTTATTAATTCTAGTTTGATTCTCAATGTTAAAGAGAGATGGTACACTAATGTTTGTATTATGCTTCTATGTTGAATTTTCAGACAAGCTTATTCAAATTCATAATGTGGATGCATCTCTCAATATTAAAGAAATTTATGAATTTCAAAAGCCTACTACTAGTCATTTGTTCCTTTTGACCAAACTGATTTGGCACGAAGATATTCTACCATATAAGTCTCTCAATTTAAAGACCAATTCATAATAAGTTACCTAATGATCACAACTTTTGCTTTAGAAGTTGTGCTATTATGAATCATCTTTACATCTCTTTTGTTTGTTTTATTTTGTTCAGTAAAATTGGAGTTGGTAAAGAACTAGTAACAAACCAATGTCTTTCTACGGATTTTGGTATGGGACGTACGTTTATTTAAAATATATAATTTTAATAAAAAAAAATTTAATTATTTATGAAAAAATAATAATTGAATATATAATTAATAAAAAAATATTTTAATCAGTAATTTTATGTTTTCGTTAATAATTAATATTTTGATCATTAATTTTATATTTTTATTAATATTCAATATTTTGATAAGTAATTTCATGTTAATGTTAATGTTTAATATTTTGATCAGTAATTTTATGTTCTCGTTAATATGTAATATTTTGATCAGTAGCTTCATGTTTGCGTTAATATTAAATATTTTAATCAGTAACTTCAAATTCCTGTTAATATTTAATATTTTGATCAGTAATTTTATATTTCTGCAAATATTAAATATTTTAATCAATAATTTTATATTTCTGTTAATATTCAATATTTTAATTCGTAACTTCATGTTCAAAGTCTTCCAAAAAGTATTATATATTATACTTTAAAATTGTAGTAGTGAATTTAGGTCAATAAAATATTTTTTCCCATATACTATTTTTGAATAAAAAATATTTGGATCATAAATACAATTTTTCGTATATAAAAATATTTAAATTAATAATAACTTTTTTTCATATACAAATATTTATTTTGTTTAGGTATTGTTTACAAAAATATTTGAATCAATAGTAATTTTTCTCTCATATATAAAAATAACACCGTTTAAAATAAATCTATTAGATCAGTAATATATTTTTTCCATGAATAGAAATATTAATTTTTTGTAAGGATTATTTATAAAAATATTTAGATCAATATAAAATTTGACTCGACCCATAACAAACATTTGACACATAATTAGACTAATAATATTTATTTTAGAAATTAATTTACTTGTAAATTAAAAATATATAGAATTTTAATAAAAAATATTATTAAGATATAATGTAACTTATTTTTTGATAAATAGTTTGAAACTAAAAGTTAAACTAGTTTTTCAATAATATAACTTAAATTTATTTTCCAAAAATATGCGTTAAATATTTGAAATCATAATTTTATGTATCAATGTCATATACATTCAAAATAACACTGTTTATAAAAATAAAATTCATTATAAAAGTATTTGAATTTTTTCCGTATAAAAAATATTTATCTCATATATTTTATTATATTATTAATACTACATAAATGTTATATGATAATTTAAGGTAAATTCTTTAAAAAGAAGAATGTTCTCTCGTTAAATTTATTTAATTTATTTTTTAATACTTGAAAAAATCATATTTAGTAATTATAGTATTAGTGAAATCATAAATATAGATTTGATAAAAAAAGAAAGAAATCATAAATATAAATCCAGTATTAGTGAAATCATAAATTTTAATTGCATAAGTATTGTTATAAATCATGCAATTAAAAGTTGAGAAATATTAGTCTTTATATACTAAATCATCTTTACATCTCTTTTGTTTGTTTTATTCTTTTCAGCAACATTGGAGTTGGTAAAGAATATCATTGGTATCTCTATTAACATTAGTTATGTGTAGCATATCCTAAACTCTTCTAACAAATATTTGTTTGACTAGTGCTAGCTTGTCATTTATAGTGTTACTATTAATATATTTAACACAATTTTATTTGCTATCAATTTTATTATGTATTGGTATATTTGCAAAAGATCTTCAAGAGATCATATAAGATTCATTTAAGATAGGCGAAAAACATTCATCTCTTAAAGTAAGATTCATTTTTCAAAATAAGGTTTATGGTCACCTATTTAACAATGTAGACTCATTATCATAATATGTGGGGTTTGATATGTCCTAAAACACTAACAATAGGGAAGTTCTGATCAAACAAGAAAAGTTCATTTCCCTGAAAAATAGGGAAAATAATGGCTCTACGCTTTTTGGAGGAGTAGAATAATTGTTCCATGGGTTAAAGGATCTAGGTCTAATCAGTCTCTATAAATATCTCAACCACTAGGTTGATAGAGGACATTTAATTTTCTTAGCAATCACTTATATATTAGCACCTCACTACCCAAGCGCAGTCATACTCTAACAACACAACAACCCTAAGACCCTTAGACAGTACTACACCACTAGGGATTATCACTCATTATACTTTTAGCAAGTACAAATGGCGTCTGTCGTGGGGCTTTGGTAAAACTGACATGAGTCACCATTGCAAAAAAAAATTGAGGGAATATCTCACACGCTTTAATGAGGCGCTTATCAAGGTCGTCCACCCCAACAAGGATATGTTTGTGAGAGCATTTCAAAACAGATTATGGGTTGAGTATTTTAATTAATCTCTCGCCCAGATACCAGTGACTTCCTTGGCAGAGGTAGTGTCGCATGCAGAATGCTATATAAAAGGTAAGGAAAACAATGTCGAAAATAAGACCATAGATGTTAAGGATCAGACAATTTACAACTCTAACAACTCATATTAGTTGTCCAAGAATCATTATACCTGGCATGTTAGAGACACAAAGACATTCAAACAAAGCAGGAGGTCTATCAAGAGGTCCACGCATTTGAACACTCACCTTGAACAAATATGATAGAAGATCCTCTATACACTAGACATTCCTCTTCTACAAACTCAAGTTAAATATCATGGAGTCTGATAAAGTTTATCTCATTGAATTTTCTTTAATAAGATTATTAATAAGACGTAAGAACTATCTTATTTTGAATGATATCTTTAAAATGTTAAACTAATTGAAA